ATTGCAAAAAACCCGAAGGATTGCAACGAAGGATTGCAATCCTTCGGGTTTTTTGCAATCCTTCGGGTTTTTTGCAATCCTTGGTTTTTTGCAATCCTTCGGGTTTTTTGCAATCCTTCGGTTTTGCGTAATCCTTTGCAATCGCTTCGGTCAGGAACGTTCTCCTCGAGGCGTGGCTCCCTCGCCCGCTCGGCCCCCCCCCAGCCGCCTCTCGCCTCCCGCGTTCCCTCTCTCTCCCGTGCCTCGCTGTGCCCCGGCGCGCTCCGCCGCTGCTCGACCACCGTCTGATCCTCTTGCGGCGGGTGGGAAAGACCGGAGACACTCGGTCGGCAATGTGCGCCTCCTGGAGGACCCCTGACCAGGCCGAAATCGGCCTGACATGTGGCGCGCGGCTTTACAGGGGGGGGCGGGGGCGGGGGGGGGCCGAACCCAAACATGCAGCCCTCTCCTGCTGTATCGCATGCAACGACTGGCAAATCGCGCGAGCCAAAGGTCGTTCTTGCTCAGGGTCATGGCTGCGTGTAGCCGAGTTCGGTTTCCCCTTCGCTTGGGATGTCGAGTGGGGAACTCTTGTCGTGGTGCGGTTAATTCGGGTGTGTCCCCCTACTGGTCGGTTAGTATGAGGACGATTTGTTTGGCATTTTTTTTTTTCTTTTTAGTCTTAACTCTGCCTGTAGGAGGACACGCCCGACCTAACGCTCGGGGTGTCGACGGAGGAAGGCTGGTCGGGACACGGTGCTGGAGCTGCAGTCCCCAGTGCGCGCCGATTCGGGTGCTCGCGTGCCTGCCTACGCGCGCTGTGTGTACGTGTTTCCCCCTTCTTCCGTGCATTGTGGCCTTCTTTTGCGTACAGCGTGTCCCCTGTTGCCACTCCGCTGGAACAGTCGCCCTCTGCCCAGCCACCGACGCTAAAACATGTGCGCGCGAGTGTGCGCCGAGTGAGTTTGCGTCTGTATTTCACTCGGGGGGGGGGGGCAGTCTCATTTTCGTGGATTATTCGTTTGATTGGTGGGTTGTTTTTTAGCTTGTCTGTGTACGCATTGTTTTATTTGGGTTGTCAGTGTTCAGCTGTCGTTCAAGTTCAGCTTTCGTTCGGGTGTCAATTGTGGGTTTGCTCCCGCGCAAGGCTGTACTCGTTTCTGTTGACCTGCCGATCGCATCGGGAGCAAGAGCGGGGAACCATCGTCATTCCGCCCCCGGCCTCAGCGCAGCTCGGTCAGCAGCTGGAGGGGGCTCGCGGCGGACAAGCCCTCCGGCCTGTCCGGCCTGCCCTGCGTTTCTTTCGTGGCCGTCGTGGTGGTATCGCTGCGGTGCTGCGGTGTGTTTGTGTCGAGCCGACGCGGCGGGAACCTGGCGCGGGCGTTCGAGGTCGAGCGCCGCCAGTGGCCCCCAGCATCGGCCGTCATCGAGCGATCCTGCGTTACGGGAGAGCCGTGATCGTCCAATGACGAACGATCCACGCGGTGTCAGAGGCCAACGCGCAAGTCGTCACGGCGCGAACCCGCCGATCGCTTACGATTAGGATCGCCGAGGCGTGTGCCGAGTCGCCCCTGGGGCCGTTTCGTGCAGGCGGCCAGGTTGCCCGCTGGGTTGCCGGGGCGCGTGGAGCCGTGGCGCCAGGCAGTCGTCCGTGCCTTTTTTGGGGGTGTACGCTGACTCTTGCTCCTCGAGCACGGCCTGTGGGCCCTCTTGCTGGTGGATCCCGAGGCGGGACTCTATACATGACCACCGCCTGGAGGATCGATGTTCGGGGACCTCGGCAGGCGGTGGATATGTGGATGCGTTCGGGCCTCCTGGGGGCTCAGCAAGTGCATCCATGTCCACCGCCCAGTGGGGCACCAGGACGTCGGTTCCCAGGCGGTGGATGTGGAGAAGTCCCCACCTCGCACTCCTCGGCTCGTTGGCTTGTACCCTGTGTTGTGCCTCGTGGTTGTCGCGAAGCGTGCATGTTTGCCAGTCTCCTGCCCCTCCCGCCTCTCGGAGCGCTCGCGCGGAGTGCGCGGTTGTCATCAATCGTGCGTGCGATGGGCGGCGGTTGCGGAGGGGGTGGCGCGCGGGGCTGATCCCGGGTCCTGGGGCGGGAGCTCCAGGGATCTGAGTCCAAGAAGCCCCAGGATTCCGAGTCGACCTCACGAAGCACACTCAAAGCTTTACGAGATGCGGCGAGATTGCGCGAAAGGAACGGTGTGGGGAGGACGGGGCCACCACCTCTGTGCGCAGGAGTGGCGGTGCCCAGGTTTCGCGCTGCGGAGATGAGGCCCGCTCGCAAGGAGGTCTCGAGCCCTCGATCCTCCATCCATCGGTATCGCTACCTTGCCCTCCCCCTCCGATTCCTCTGGGCCTTGATCCGTTCCGCCAGCGCGTGGCGCTGCCGGCCCGGAGATCGGGCCGGCCTCCCCAGCGGAGACGGGGCGGGCAAGAGGTGTCATGGTGGGGATCTGCTCGGACGTGCACTTCCCCACGGCCAGCTGGCGGTACCTGATTCCGTTCGCCAATCAGAGAAGCTGTCGCCGCTTCCGATTGCAGTCCAATCGCGCGCGCGCGCAGTGCACCTCCAAGATGAACGGTGAGGGTATGATGTGAGCTGTAGAAGTTCTGCGTAAGCATCTATACTTCAATGCAGCGCAAGGCGATCGTCTTAACTGCGGTTTCCTTCCTGACTCGAAGAACAGTGCCTCGTATCAGGTGGCTGACTGATCGCCCAAGAGTCAGCCGTGGGGAGTTGTCGTAATCAGCACGGTGGTGCCTCACGGAATGCGAGTCTTGTCGTATGCCTGCGGTTGTAAAGTGCCATGGCGACATTCGTACTTTGTATGAGTACGGTATGGTTCTTCAGATGTGCACATGCTTGAAATTTATGCCGTATTGGTACTAGCCCTTAGCATCCATAGTTTCACAGTGTTTTTTTGAATTGGCGCATGGTACGTGATGCATACACCGTAACATTGGCTGGACATGGCACGCATTCGGAATCCTTAAGGATGTTGTGATCATTGTCGTGTGAGGGGGCCGAACGGCCCTAAACCGTCCCTGAGTGCGAGGCTGAGATGGTGTTCTGCGGTGCGAGGTCGCTTTGACCTCTCACTTCTAATGAACATGTATGCTTGATCCCCCAACTGGTGCCCCCCCCTGTGTTCTTTCAAGTGACGCGCCTTCCCATGGGCTCGCACCTTGTTCCCAACTATCCTGTGGTCTTGGGTCCGTGTTTTGAAGAGACGGTCCCCGCGTTCTCCTCGTCCTCCTCCTTCTCCCCTCCTCCCTTCTCCATCACCATCATCATCATCATCATCATCATCATCATCATCATCATCATCATCATCATCATCATCATCATCATCATCATCATCATCATCATCATCATCATCATCATTATCATCATCCATCATCATCATCATCATCATCATCATCATCATCATCATCATCATCGTCATCATCGTCATCATCATCATCATCATCATCATCATCATCATCATCAGTATCATCATCATTATCATCATCATTATCATCATCATCACCACCCGTTGCAGCACACCTCTCACATGTTTCGTGGCCCCATAGGGAGCCCCGACGAAGGTCCCAGTGCTACCGTCCGCATGCGTCCCGCACACCCAGTGCAGCGTTTCGTGGCCCTTTTCAAGAATCCCTTGCACAAACAAGAGACGAAGTGCACACGCGCGCGTCGTCGCGCGCGCATGCCGAAATCCGTCAGAAACCTGTGGTTTCGGAAGGATATCAAAATCGAGTGTTCAAACCAACGTACAACAAACACAGGGTTTCGCAATTCCAAAAAGCTTGCGCGCGCGCTCTTGCGACTTCTTGAGAAAACCACAGGTTTTCAACATTTTCAGAGCATGCTACCAAGCGGGCTTCGCGCGCGCATGTCGAAATCGTTCGAACGCCCTTGCGCGCGTCTGGGGGGGCACGATCCGTGTTGACTATTACCATGCGGGCCACTCTCGCGCGTCTGCCGCGTGCGCATTTCGACCTCTTCCCAAAACCTTCATCACCGACGCGACGACGCCGTGATCGTCGTCGGCGTGATCAGCATCGGTGCCGTCACTGGCTGCCCCGTCGTCGCTGTCAGCATCGTCGCCAGCATCGCTACTATAATCTTTGTGTCTGCCGTTGTCGACGTGGCCATGATACCGCGCCCGCCCAAGTCTCCGACTCGCACTGAAGTGCCCGGTGGGATGTGCCGAGCGGTCAGCGCCACCGCGTTCTCGTCGGTCGCGCCAAACTAGCTGGCCGCTGCGCGCGAGCATGCGCGGGCTAACGCGGCCGCAAATATACACCAGCCAACACCAAGCAATCATCGCAATCGCCACCACATGGGTTTTGCAAGTCAAGTTGCGGGTTGGTGGGTGGGATGTGTGCCCGAGCAGTGGAGTGGACGACTCATTTCGAACCGCCCGCGTGCGTCCCACACACCCAATTTGGCATTCCCACCCACCCAATACAGCGTTTCGTGGCCCCATAAGGAGCTTCACCGACGGCCCCATTGCTACCGCCCGCATGCTTTCCTCCCCACCCAGTACAACGCTTCGTGGCCCCATAGAGAGCTCCACCGAAGCCCCCAGTGGGACCGCCCGCATGCGTCCCACACGCCCAATTTGGCACTCCCACCCGCCCAGCGCAGCGTTTCGTGGCCCCATAGGGAGCTCCACCGGCCGCCCCGGTGCTACCGCCCGCATGCGTTCCCCCCACCCAGTGCAGCGCTTCGTGGCCCTTTAGGGACCTTCACCGAAGAAAATATTCACACTTGCGTTGCCCACAGCCGCATATGGTTGGGTCTTTCGCCCGGATTTTTTTGTTGGTTGGGCAGGGAACGTGTTGATCTTTGAAATGTGTTGTTGTCCTCCTGCCCAGACGACAACTACAACGGTTGCCGCCGAATACTTTCCCACAACTTCATTATCCATGAATCGCGATTTAGCTGGAGGTGTCTTTACAATTCTTGACGCATCGCGTATCCTTTCCAGCTCCGTAGCCTGGCTCAAGTCCGTGGCCATTTTGGCTCAAGCCGCTCTGGCTCAAGCGGGCCTCAGCGGCTGGCCAGCTGGCCGGGCTTCCGCCCCTCGGTCCTCGGCCTCCCCGGCCGCGGGGGCGTGCGAGGGGTTCGCCCCCCTCCGCGCCCCCGCTCGCTCGGCCATGGAGTCGCGCTCGGCGCGGCGGCGGCGGCAGCGGCGCGCTGCCGCCTGCTGCGCGGCCGCCGCGGTCGGCCCGGCCGGCCTGCTGCCGCCGCGGCCCGGCGTGGCCCCTGGCTGCCTCGGCGTGGCCGGCGGCGCCGCCGCCGCGGCCGCCGCCGCCGCTGCGGCCGCCGCGGCCGTGGGGCGGCCGGCCGCGGCGAGACCGCCGCGGCGCCGCGCTGTGGCGCGCGCTCTGGGGGCCTCCGCGGCTGCCGCGGCCGCCGCGGGTGCGGCGGCTGCTGCCGTGGCCGCCGCGGCCGCGGGTGCCGCCGCTCCCGCCGCCGGCCTCCCCGCCGCGGCCGCCTTCGGGGCCGGTGCGGCTGCGAGGGCTGGGTCGGCTGGCGGCGGTGGTCTGCCCGCCGATGCGCTGGCCGCGGCCGCCGCTGCTGCCGCCGCCGCTGCGGCCGCCTCGGGCGGGCCGCTGGCGGCGGCCGCCGCCGCTGGCTTCACTGGTCATGAAACTGGCGCCCAACATCATGTCCTACGTCATCCTGAACAGCTGGTGCGAGAAGGGCAGGCGTTGGCAGTGGCAGCTGGCCGTGGCACTGGTGAGCGAGATCCTGGTCGTGAAGCTGGAGCCCAACATCATCACGTACGGCACTGTGAACAGCGCGTGCGAGATGAGCAGGCGTTGGCAGCGGCAACAGGTTGTGGCGCTGCTAATCGAGGCCTCGGTCGTGAAGCCGAAGCCCATGTTCATCAACTCTGGCACGGTGAACAGCGCGTGCGAGAAGAGCAGGCGTCGGCAGTGGCAGCAGGCAGCGCCGCTGCCGGGCGAGATTGTGGCCGCGAAGCTGGAGCCCACGATCATCACCAACGGCACTTTGAAGAGCGCGTGCGAGAAGAGCAGGCGGCAGCAGTGGCAGCAGGTTGTGGCGCTGCTGGGCGAGATTGTGGCCGCGAAGCTGGAGCCCAACATCATCACCTACGGCACTGTGAAGAGCGCGTGCGAGAAGGGCAGGCGTTGGCAGTGGCAGCAGGCAATGGCGCTGCTGGGCGAGATTGTGGCCGTGAAGCTGGAGCCGAACACCATCGCGTACGTCACTGTGAACAGCGCGTGCGAGAAGAGCAGTCGTCGGCAGTGGTTGTAGACTGTGGCGCTGCTGAGCGAGATGGCGGCCGTGCAGCTAGAGCCCAACATCATCCCCTACTGCGCCCTGAACAGCTGGTGCGAGAAGGGCCGGCGTTGGCAGTGACATCAGGTAATGGCGTTGCTGAGCGAGTTGGTGGGCGTGCAGCTGGAGCCCAACATCATCACCTACAGCGCCCTGAACAGCGCGTGCGAGAAGAACAGGCGTTGGCAGCGACAGCAAGCAGAGGCGCTGCGGAGCGAGATGGTGGTCGTGCAGCTGGAGCCCAGCATCGCCCCCTGCGGCGCCCTGATCAGCGAGTGCAAGAAGGGCAGGCGTTGGCAGTGGCAGCAGGCAATGGCGCTGCTGAGCGAGATGGCAGCAGCGAAGCTGAAGCCCAACATCATCACTTAGGGCACCCTGACCAGCGCGTGCGAGAGGAGCAGGTGGGCGGTCGCTGTGGCCGCTGTTCTTGAGGACCAGTCCGCGGACATCACGGCTGCTGCGCGCAACTTCGCCGTCGCGGTGTTGACGTCCAGCGACCCCGCGGCGGACGTTGCGAACGGCCGCCTTGCCAGGCTGGTGATCCTCGGCATGTTCCTCCAGGACTGCCGGATTGGCTCCGCCCAGGGCGATGGGGCGCTATGCGCTGGATCCCCGCTGCGTGCGCGCCTTCAAGTTCGAGAGCGAGCTGGGCGTTCAGGACCCCTCGGGCCATTGGGGCCCTGCTGGCTGCACAGCGGATGGCTGCGCGGAGAATCTCGCTCACCAGCGGCAGGCAGAGCTGAAGAACGGCCGCGTGTGCATGCTGGCGACCGTGGGCTACATCACGCCGGATATCGCTGGCAAGCTGCCCAAGGCGCCTTCGGCTGACCTGGAGTTCGCGGACATCCCGCGCGTGCTCGTTGCGCTCCCGAAGGTTCCTGCCGCTGCCTGGGCGCAGATCGTGGCGCCTGGCGCTGACGCGAGAGATCTCGGTACTCACAGCGACATCTCGGAACATAGCAGCAGCAGCAGCAACGTGCCGCCCCCCGCTTCGTTGACAGATGATGACGCCCCAGAGGGGAATGGAGAGGCGGTGGATGAGGCGGAGGAGGTCGTCGTCGAGGAGGTTCAGGAGAGCTGCGCCCCACCCCCCTCAGAACAATCAGTCCGTCAGCAGTCCTCTGGGGGCGCCGCGCGCCCAGCAGGGGGTCCACGGAGCAACCGTCCAGACGCAGGACAGCGAAGCCATCCGCTGGCTC